ATATTTATATGTATGTGTGTGTATTTTGGTGTTTTTATTTATTTATTGTGTTTCTGTTTTGCTGATGCGAGGCAGCATCGGCGTAGCAGTGACCTAACGACGTATGTATATATACTTAAATGTATATTTAACTGTTTGTGTGTGCGCGCGTGTGTGTATAGGTGTTTGCTTTGTTGTATTTATTTTATAGCATTTTATTTACGTTGTTTTCGTTAATTTTATTTTGGTTTCATTTTGCATGTTAGCGCATGCAAGCTCGCTCGATCGATTGAATGGGAGCCATGTGAGGACTTTGCTGAGCTGCTTGACAAATTTACTGTATGTATGTTTGTATTTAAATTACATTTACATACGCATGTATATTATCATGTATAAGTAAATACATTCATTCATATATGAGCTGTGTTCATACAGACAAGTATACATACATATGTACACATAACAATGAGGATAGTCTATAAAAGACAAAAACAAAGTGAACACGCTACTGCCAGTGCTGCCAACTGAAGCCCATAAGCTTCTTACCAAAAGTGTAACTGTCAAGTGTAGAGTTGCCAATTCAATATTGATGAATATTGATGCTTAAGACTTTCGAGCTCTGTCGATTAAAAAATCAATGTAATTATTGTTATTGTTAATACAAGAGCACTTCTGCAGTAGCAATTATTTTAAAGCTTCTGTAATGATATAGTTTATACAAATCTGTACGATTTGATTGCTTATAAGAAACAATGCATGTTTATTTTAGATATGTATTTGTGTTTGTGGTCAGTTGTGCGTGTAATCTGTCTGTGTGGGCATGAATATGAGCACGTTTTCATTACTTTTGCACATTTGGCAACACTGGCGTAGCAGAAAACGAAAACAACGAGACTGACAAATTGTTAGGCGTAAACAGAATGATGCTACACTGAACGCATTGCGCGCGCGCTCCTCAATACTCAAAATAATGAATATTATCTTAAAGCCCAATAGCTTGCCGAACTTAATTTTGTATACATATGTAGTTCTGCAGCCGGCAGCTGCTCCAACTGAGAGCTATTTGGGGACTTTCGTGCTCTCTTTCTCTCTAACACTTACCACTCTCCGACTGCTGCCCGGGCTAGCCGATACCGCATAAAGAGTGAGCGCACGCGCGTGCAATTGTCTCCCAACGCATTGTGTTTTGCTATGAACTGTATGTACTCAATTCGTATGCTCGTATGCATGTGTGTGTGTGTGTGTGTTTGCGTGTACATGTGTTCGTTTACTCACGTAGTGCCGCAACGTAGTAGTAGTAGTGTTATTATTGTTTTTATTGTTGTGCCGAGCTGTTTTTGTTTTTGCTTGTTGCCGAGTGCGAGTCGGTTTAAAATGTGTGTAAATATGTATAAGGAGTGTCTGTTTGTATGCATGCATGTGAACGGCTATGGTAGCAAAACATAACCAAAGCAAAAAGGGGAAAAAAAACTGAAAAAGTACTTGTTTTTGTTGCGCTCTCTGCGAAGTAGGAGACGGAGACAAACAGCCCAAAGAGTGCTTTATATATGCATGTCTATATATGTGTATATATACATGTATATTTGGGAAATATATTTGCGTTTCCTTTTTTATTTGCTATTACTGGCGAAAAGCCTTGGGCATAAAAGAGTCCGAAAAACACGCGTGAAAAGCTGCTGAGCTATGTATGTATGTATGTATGTATTATACAGTCGGTGTGCAACACGCGCTTTGCCAGTTTTATTTACAACACTTTAAAGCGCGCCGCATACAGAAAAAGGCGAGAGCACAAGAAAACGAAAGACAAAAAGAAAAGAAAATAAACAAAAACAATGTGCTGCTGGTGTGTGTGTATGAGAGAGAGAGAGAGAGATAGAGAAAGAGCGGGGGAGCCATATTTTCTTGTTTATTTGCACTAATTACTTAAACGGAAGAACAATAATAGTAATAAATGAAATTTTCAGTTAAACTACAGCAACAACAACAACAACAACAGGAAAAGCAGCAACAGTAGTCAGTGCGCAAGTGGATACCTCTCAATGGCCGCCACTACAACAACAACAACATTATTAGCAACAACCATCAATATAAGCAACAACAACAACAGCAACGGCAGCAGCAGCAATAATAGCAATAACCATAGCAATCCTAACAACATCCACAGCAACAACAACAATCATATTGTAACGGTACACACCGTTCTAAACACACCCACCTCCGCAGCAGCAGCAGTAGCGAGCTCTGCAGACGCGGCAACTGTTGCCGCTGCTAAGGACATGCTGCAGCTTCATCATGGCGCCGCTGCAGCGTTAAATAACAATAACAATAMCAATACCAATAATAATACCAGCGCCGAATTGGCTAACAATAATCAAAATAGTAACAATAATAACAGCAACAACTTAGCAAACCACCCACCTGCCCATGAAGTCGTCTCCTTAAGCTCCTCTCCACCGGAGAATGCGTATGGTGTGCTGCGCTTCAACGAGGATCTGCTCCATATAACGGACGAGGTGACCGTCATTGGACGCAACTCATCCACATCGCTGGTGCACTTCAACGTAGCCGAGAACAATTTGGTCTCTCGGAAACATTTCCAGGTGCTCTACGATCCAGAGCGCCGCGCCTTCTTTGTGCAGTGCCTCAGCAAAAATGGCATATTCGTTGATGACTTTCTACAACGACGCAATGTAGATCCACTGCGACTGCCCCAACGGTAAATGCTTTAACTAAATGATCCATTAATTGCATCAATTCATTTTGCCTTTGCTTTGCAGTTGCTTCTTTCGATTTCCGAGCACCGAGATACGCATCGAGTTCGAGAGTTTCGTCTCGGCGCCGGTGGACATTGTCTCGGATGCGGCACCCGTGCTCAGCAGTCCGACAGTATCTGGCACAGCTGGTGCTCATGTTATTATAACGCCGCCTCCACGCGATGAGCTGCATTCGCTGCAGGCGTCGCATCATCACAGCCAACAGCAACAACCAGCGCATCACTTGCAGCAATCGCAGCAGCAGCAACAACCACAACAACAGTTGCCGCCACACCACCCACTCCCAAACACACCACACCACCCGCTTCACCACACATCCCTGCAGCAACAGCCGCAGCAGCAACGCCTGCCCGGAGCACCGCCCGCAGCATCACAGCTGTTAACCACCGGAGGCGATGGAGCTGCCATCTATGCACCGCTCAAAATTTCAATACCCAAAAAGGAGCAAAAGAGTCCCTACCTATCACCAACTGGTAAGAGCCACAAAAAAAAAAGCAAATTCAAATTAGACTCAATTCCAATTAGACCGACTCGAAACTTCAGCGTTTCAGTAGTCGACTGCATCAGCTGTGCAAATAAAAAATGTTATTCAGAAATTCCACAGACTTGCGCTCAAATTTTCAAGCCCAAACACTTCTTGCGGGAGAGAAGTGATGACAATAAGCGCACGCCATAAAGGCACTAAAGATCTCTCAAATAATCCAATACATAATTTGGAAGAATCAAATCAAACCTGATTATATTATTTTGTATAATTTGACGTAATTTGAAAATGTAGATTAAAATTGCAAATTAACAAAGTGTAATTCCTAATTTGTGTAAGCGATATATTTGTGATAGTATATTCATTCTCATATGATAGTCTGAAATATACATATATATATTTATATATTTACCTTTCAATCGTACAGGTACAATAAGTGCTGCCAACAGTTGTCCTGCTAGTCCTCGCCAGGGTTTTCACCAGAATCAGACCAATAGCTACAACAATTATAGCAACAACAATACGGTAAATATTAAACAACTTTAATTCAATATATATTAAATAGTTGAATTGGCATTTATACTATTTTTATTATACTGCAGCAGGATCTATTCCAGACCCCGTCGACAGCCAGCTACAATCATAATGAGAAGCCGCCGTATAGCTATGCTCAGCTGATTGTTCAAGCTATTTCTGCTGCACCGGACAAGCAGTTGACACTCTCTGGCATTTATTCGTTCATTGTCAAGCATTATCCCTACTATCGCAAGGAGACCAACAAGGGTTGGCAGAATTCCATACGTCATAATCTCAGTTTAAATAGGTTTGTTAACGATTAAGATGGAAGTTTGAAATTGGAGATGAAATCAAAAATTCTTCAATTGTAGGTATTTCATCAAGGTAGCGCGCTCGCAGGATGAGCCGGGAAAAGGCTCCTTCTGGCGCATCGATCCGGATAGCGGGGCCAAGCTGATCGATCACAGTTACAAGAAACGTCGCCAGCGCAGCAGTCAGGGCTTCCGTCCGCCCTATGGTATGCCACGGTCGGCGCCCGTCTCGCCCAGTCATATGGGTATGCCCGCTTATATATCATTTTAATTGACGTACATTAATAAACCACATTGGATTGCCTTACAGATAACTCACGCGAGAGCTCGCCATTGCAGGACATTGTGCTGCAGTCAGCTCCTGGCTCACCGGGCATGTCCCTCGAACAGCGCGCCGCCGATGCAGGTAAATAGAAGTATAGCCGGGACATGGCTAATTAAAAAAGTTAGGGTGTAGTCATATTTAAAAAACAAAATAATGCTTCAAGCAAACAGTTGGTGATTTATAGACTACATAACTCAGATTTAGTTGCAATTGTTATTATATATAGGTATAATGCATTATTAGACAGACAACTGCAGACAACTGTTAACCATTCGATTTGTACTCAATGCTGATTTACTATAGTAGTATATATTATTTGTGAGATATGAGTCAATGAATACATTAACGACAAATGTTTATCTGCTAGATAATAATATGCCTCTACTTTAGATAAATAATACCTGTTATTAAGTTGGTCCAAAAACCAATAAGCATTAACTGGTCTAAATTCTGTTAGGCAACACAAGTTTAATGACTTTCGTGTCATAAACCCTGCTGGACAGATTACTAAAATTATCTATATCATCTATATTTACAGAAATAATCTACAACTCTCAAACTGCGCACCAGCAACAACAACAACAGCAGCATCAACAACAACAACAACAACAGCAGCAACAGCCGCAACAGACGTTGGCGAATAATTCCAATCAATTCAAGTGGGTTTTTGCTTGCAGTTTATGTTAATATGAGTTCTCTATTTCTAATGCAATTGTTTATTTATATTTATTTTGCAGCAGCGGCAGCCCGTACTATGTAACCAATCAAAATGCCAGCGTCACTGTGCAGCAAGCGCATGTGGACGGCGGGAGCGGTGGTGGCGGTGGTGCCGGTGCCAGTGCCGGTGTCGGTGGTGTGGGCGCTTTGATTGCGCTCAAGCGAAATCACGTAATGGCCGTGTCGCATCCGACGCAGCCAACGCAACTGCATCAGCAGCAGCAGCAACAGCATCCTGAGATTATTTACGAAGAGCTGCCAACCGATTATAGCGGTCACATTGAGGCGGGCGAGGAGGAGTGTGTCACTGCCGATGCCACGGCGGCCAAGCGTCCCAAATACGTCTCCGAGGTACTCTGATGCGTACGCATGCAGAGCCAGAAACAAAACAAAGGCAAATAGTAGTTCGCAGAAGAAACCAGCGCAGCTGCTTAAGTTGCAAATGCAAATGCAAATGTGAATGCGAATGCGAATGCAACTGCGACGGCGAACAGATGATGAAACTCAGAAGAACCGTAAGGAAGCAAGCAAAATGCAACAACAAAGCCCACTTTAAAAAACAAAAATATATATAAAGAAACAAAAAGAAGAAAAAAAGAAAAGGAAAAAGAAAAAGAAAGGAAATAGTATCTCCATCTTGTATATTGAATTTGCCAAACCCAAACAGCATTGCGAGACCCAGGCGGAAGCAAAGAGAAACAACAAAGCAAAATTGATACGGAAATGTTTATAAATATAACTGTGAGATTGTGTTTTAAGGTGTTGACCGTACAACGGTTAAACGGCGTGCAAAACACTATTCAAAAGAAAAGCCCAATATTTACGATTTAACCCTTAGCTCTGACGAATTCAATATGCTCGATGACGCTACTCTCTAAGTACATATAATAATATTAAGATTTAAATCGAAGTAATGCAAATAACACAAAACAAAAAAAAAA